AAACTGCTAACGTGGTCTCTGAGGTGTTCAGCTTTAGGGATGAGAGAGCCATGCTGGTAAACACAGACTCAAAAGTCACGTATGCTCTTGCCTCAGGCGTGGCTCTTAGCTGTTCTAACTCTCTCAGAAGAGGAGCATCTTCTCTGCAGGCGAACTCCACAGCAGCCCTGATGTTATCAGTCCCATTGAAGCCCGTTTGTGCTCAGTTTATTTTCTTCGTTCCTTAAGAACGTCGTACAGTGTACTTTGATCGTACTCACCCCAGCCCCTCCCAGGGACACCGCCCTTTCCCTGCTACCCAGCTTTGTGTCCATTTTTATTTTCTTATTCAACTCATTAAGTCCAACTTTTGCTACCTATGTAGCTTTCCACTGCTTCACCTCTTCATTCTGCCAACAAGGAACACAAAGCAGATCCTAGAGTGAGAGGCTTCTTTTTCTTCCCAGGACCCCCTTATAGTTCCTGCCTTCCTGACCTGCTTCACTCAATTAAAAATCAGAAGCACATGTAGAAACTTTGAAGGATATTTTACGGTGTTATTCAAATGGCTTCTTTCTGAGAATGATTTGGATTGACCCACTCTGGGACTGAGTATAAAATTCACTGGTGGACAAATGATAGATGTTTGTGAACAAATGCATACAAGTTCTGTTCTCTATATTTTAAAATGTCTTAGTATTTAGTGAAATATCCGTATGTAACAACTGAAGCAATAACTGTAGGGAAAATATTAATATAATATTGTAAAAATTTCAACCCATTTATTTATTTATTTATTTATTTATTATTTATGAGTGTTCCACCTGTGCATATGTCTGCACGCTTTGTGCATGCAGTGCCTGAGGAGGCCAGAGAGAGCATTGGATCCCCTAGGACTAGAGGTATAGAGGTTGTGAGTTGCCATGAGGGTACTAGGAATTGAACTCAGGCCCTCTGGAAGAGCAGCCAGTAGTCTGAACCACTCTCTGCAGCCCTCCCACCCCAATATGTTTTGTGGGGGTCTCTAAATACTGTTTATCCTAAAACCAAAGCATGCATCCCTCTTACTAGCATGTAATCTGTTTTCAAAAGCTTCCCATTTTCATGCTAAGCTAGTGAACACTGATAGAATTCACACAAACACAGCAATTTGGAAGAATTTAACAGGCTCCCACAACAGAAACTTTGTGAACTGCTTTTCCTGATATTTGATGGGCCTTTGTCTGACTGAAAACAGGTTGGATTAAGCTCTCTCATCAGTACAGGAGGACTCAAGGCCTGGAGAAGTTAGGACTTGCTTAGTCATTTGTACTGACAGAGTCTGAACATGGCTGTCCAGTCCTCAGCTCCTTTTCTGACGGTGTTACTAGGCACCCAGCAGTCAGGGAACTTCCAGGAAACACTGGAATTTGAGCTCTGACTTCTCCGAAGAGCAACTCCTTTTCACCCAGCCCAACCTCCAAGGAGTGCCAGGAAGAGCCTGTACACAGACACCAAGACAGAAGACACACCCAGCAGTTTGCTGCCGAGCTATACTCCCAGTGTGTCTGCTTCATCTTATGATGCTGCATGAAAAATAGAACATTGGTTCTTTTTTTTTTTAATTTAAAAGATTTCACTTCAAAAATGTACATTATCAGCTGCCTTTGAAAATTAGGGGGATTAAGGTATAGGCTTGTATACCTCTAGGTATGCCTACAGAGCAAGTCAGCTTTAGCCTGAGTCCGCTGCTCTTTTAGAAGAAATGGGTTTCTTCCAGTGTCCTCAGACCCTCAGCTCCCAAGGCCTTATCCACAGCTGTGCCCTTCAGTGACGTTATTTGTCTATGGTGTCAGGGTTGGGAATACCTACTAATGCCCTGTCCCTAGCATAGCATTTCAGGTTCTCTCTCCCTCTCCCTCCCCCTGCTGTATGTGCCTGAGCATGTGTATATGCAGGCCAGAGGTCAACTTCAGGGTCTTCCTCAGTCACCATCTACCGTTTTTCTTTGAGACAGGTACTCTCACAGAAGCAGGAGCTCGCTGATATGGATAGTGGAGCTAGTCAGTGAATCCAGGCTCTGTCTGCCTCCATATCCACAGGGCTGTCGAGATTACAAGTGGCGCCCTGCTTTTCCTGTGTCATCTGGGTATTGAACACAGCTCTTCGTGTTTTTCTGCAGCCGATGCTTTACTAAGCTGAGCAGTCTATCTCCCCAGCCCTACCATCTTAACTTCTTTGCAAACCCAAAAGACCTGATAGAAATGTTGCTATGAAAATTGCACTCTCCTTCCCAACTTGAGTGTAGTAAAGGCCTCACTGTCAGCGGTGGGGAGAGAGCGAATGCCGTCCGTACTCAAGCATGACATTCTGATTCATTAAGGAAAGGGGCTCTTGCCAGTGAATTAATGTTTATTTTTAAATGTGCAGCCGCGTCTCTTTTTAAGGGGAGCAGTGAAATAAGCACATTCTGCTCACTGCCCTCATTTCGTGTTTATTTTGGTCCTGTCTATTGTCCTCATCATTATCACGTCTGGACCCTTTCACAAAACTGAAAATGCCTGTGAACCTCAGTGTGCATGTGAGGTCAGACAGGTTTGAGATGGTCAGCCGAAAGTACTTCAGTAGCCACAGCATTCTGACAAAATTAATGAATTGCAAATAGTTATGCCCAAAATACTATCACCTCATTTCAACAGTAAGTAGCATTTATTCCAATTTCTAAATATAGATTTGTCTCTTTTCTCACTTTGCTTCACCCTGGGAAGTAAATTGCTTTGTAAAGCTAGAAGTCATATCTATGTTCCGATTGCTCACGGTGAATGTCCTATGTTCTATATGCTTAGCATATATTCAGTAGATAGTGGAACGGATAGATGGAAAGGGCCATAAATACGTCAACTGTGGATGGTAACTTCTTCTCTTCTCGCTTCATGGATTGTATCGTACCGTTTCCAGTAAGAATTTCTGTGCTTCCTAATTTGAGGGTTAGCTGAGAACGGTGGTTTTTTATATTTTATTTTCTGTATAGTACCAACCCAGATTTCTGTCTGTCTCTTTTTCTCCCTCTGTCTCCCTGTCGCCCTCTGACCCTGTCTCTCCCCGCGCGCGTGTGTGTGTGTGTGTGTGTGTGTGTGTGTGTGTGTGTGTTACATAGAATAGCTTTCCCATTTGCTACCTTGAGGTTGAGAGGCAGGTTACTCATCTCCCTAGTTCAGAATAAGCTGCCTATTGGGACTGGGGCATAAGGTGAAGCTGCGAAGTTTGGAGACTGCCTTCCACACCACGAGCCTATTGCTTTGCAGTCACACACGGCATCATTATTCGGCCATTAGGGAAGTCTCATGTGTGACAGTAGCTTTTAGGCAATGTCTCTTCTGAAGGGGGCATCCTGCTCTTAACCTATGGCTGGAAGAGAAACACCATTGTCCATTAATACTACTGGAACGAAAGATGAATGGTGAATTGGCCTTGATCTGACAGTGAGCTTGACTTTGATAGCTCATCCTTTAAAAAGGTTCTTTTATATCTATGAAAAAAAAGCATGACGTCAAGCCGGGGGTTGAGGGGGACTGATATCAATATTTAAGACCAAACTAGTAGGAATTAAAAAAAAAAAAAAGTCCCTTGTGAGAACAGCTTTTTTTTTTTTTACATGCATAACTAATTAGCTTAGGTTATTATAAGCTGTGCTACTGTGATAACGTTTCCGGCGGTGCCTCGGGATGCCTTGTTTATGGTGCCTTCTCTATGCCAGTTGCTCTTCGAATTGGAATTACAGAAAGTAGAGGGAGGAGGAATAAGTAGTCTGCCGTGTCTCCTTGGCTTGGGGCTGCCTGAAACGGTGCCATGCTGGAAATGCTAGAATACAGCCACTACCAGGTGAGCGTTCGTTCCTGTCCGCAACCGGAGCCTGAGTGCAGGGGTAGGCATGGGCTGCTCAGTGTCATGAAGGCTGTTATACTAAGTACTCTATGTGCAGTAAGGATAGAGTTACCCCTTCAATGCTGGGTATTTTCCGATGTGCTCAGAAGTAACAGACTACACTTTTAGATACAGTGAATAGTCGGATTTATTCCCCTGGCATGTAGCTGCATTCTCCCCACCAGCTCTTGTTTCGAGTGTATGAGGTAAAACTGTGTTTCTCAGTGAAAAGTGACTTGAAATTGAATGTCATTGATTTTGTTTATTTAAAAAAAAAAAAAAAGATGTGCTTCTAATTCCTTGTTAATGTTCTAGAAAAGGACAGCAAATACCGTGCTGGCTTGTAAAGAGGCATGCCTTTCAAAGCACATGTATACAAGTGACATGCACTTGAATGCACTTACTTCATGTAGAATTACTGTTTCCATTGAGCCCGTTCATAAGTAGAATTCCGAGTGATCATGTTCTTGTGTATGAAAGGAAATAACCTATAACTCCTTGATTTAAACATGTCAAATGTTTCCGTTTATCTTCTATAACCATTTTATAGTTAGTTCTTAAGAATTTTGTGTGTGTTTGTGTGTGGGGTTTTTTGTTTGTTTGTTTGTTTATCTGTGAGTGTGATTGTGTGAGTGTGTGTGTGTGGTGTTGGGGTGTGTGTGTGGTGTTGGGGTGGTTGGTGCATTGTTGTTTGTGTGAGTGCATGTATGTCTTAACAGAAAGCTGTTCTGTTTGCCAAGGAAATAAGATAAACTGAATTGTGTATTTTCAAGTTTGTTATTTTGATTTTGTGTTGGGATTTTTGTAAACTTTAATAATTAGCTATGAGAAGAAGGGCACCAGGATTGAATGAAATGTATAGTTATGAAATGTATAATTATGAGGGATATCAAACAGGACAGTTATTACCCTGGATCCGAAGAGTTCTAAATCCTGTGATTTACATTCTCGACTCCAGTACTCTCACAGTCCTTCAGCACCGTGCCCAGGACCTTACAGGGACTAACATTCTGTTCTGTTGGTGGACTGGTCACTCTCATGATGTGCGCTACAGGAAGAGCTGTTTGAAACCCCGGAATAACACTGCTATCTTCTCTTCCCTTCATGGCCATGCTCAGGTGCAGACCCACCTGGAAAACCCCACCAAGTACCACATACAGCAAGCCCAGAGGCACCAGGTAAAGCAGTACCTTTCTACCACTTTAGCCAATAAACATGCCAGCCAAGTCCTGAGCTCGCCATGTCCCAACCAGCCTGGCGACCGTGCCATGCCACCAGTGCCCGGGAGCAGCGCACCCAACAGCCCCATGGCTATGCTCACTCTTAACTCCAACTGTGAAAAAGAGGTAATTCATGTCTCCTCTTCTCCTCTGTTTCTTAACACTCCATTAACTGTCTGTGGGATATTTTTTCGCCCTAAGTGATGGACTGTCCTTTGTCCACCTGGTCACAGTCACTGGCCTCTGTCCCAGATTTACCGGTGTGACCATGTACATGTCAGCCTCCTGTCACGAGGACTAGGTTACTGGGTTTATTGCACATGACAAGAGATCTGACGTGCTCTAAGCAGAATGTGGAGGCGAGGATGCTTCTTCCTTAATTCCCATTTCCTTCCTTAGATGAGTGTTCTCTTCCCTTCTATGCCTTCCAATTTGTGAAGTGGTGAAAATGCAGAGAGGAGAAAGGGAGGTGGAAAAGGAAAAGCAAAAATAGAAAAGGTGTGGGGCAGGAGGCTTAGAAGTTCTGCCTGCTGTGACCGTCTGGGATATTATTTTTATTTTTCACGGAGTTGGAGAAGGAAGAAACACGGACCGCGTGGGGAGAGATTTGACTGGTATGGCACATGAGGACTTAAGAGGAAAAGCAAGGCTGATTACACCATCCAGTCAGTCTCATAATGAATTGCTGCCTGATAAGTCTGCTTTGGTAGAGGCTGGATTAGAGACAAGACTCAAAACCCTCAAGCTAATTTCTGCATCAAAATTTGGAGCATAAAAATACCTGGGGGCACTGCTGGGATTCGGTACCTGTTATTTCTAAATTAGGAGATCATGAGTCTTCTTTTAGTGAAGTTCTACTAGGCCTTGAAGTGTTTTTATGAGTTCGCAAGTGACTGCCAGACAACTTTTGGTTGATTTGAGTCACTGGAGGGACTAAGTCTTTCCCCCTCTATCCAAACTGAGCACTTCTTATCCACCCATATCCCTCTTATGCCTCCATCCAAGTTCCCCTCCATTGTTCCATTTCTTGGTTAAATCCACTTGTTCGAAAGCTCCATCCATCGCATTGCTCTGCCACTAGTATCCTGCGAACGTGTTGTTGAATGACACCTGCAAATCCTCATCACGGCCGTCTCTGCTTATGTTTCTGCAGGCGTTTTATAAGTTTGAAGAGCAGAGCAGGGCAGAGAGTGAGTGCCCAGCTATGAACACACACTCTCGAGCGTCGTGCATGCAGGTACTGAACGACTCGGCAGGGCGAGGATGTAGCACTTGATAATGAGAATCTATATTTGTGAGTGATCACACCTCCTGATGACTTTGGGGCCTCTTTTCCTCCCATTGATGTTTTTTAAATAGAAAGAGCCATGAACAGGCTCATTTTCTTCATAATCACTCACGAATGACTCAAGTAACAACCGAGAAGATTAAACATGCGCGCCTCTGAAGTCGCCCACGCTCCTAAAGAGAGGGAAAAATATACAGACTGTTGTAAATAAAATGCACGGTGATTTAGTTGATTTGCATAAATCCCCGGCACATGTTGTAGAGCATTGCACTAGCTTCCAAAACATATTTGAAATCAAGCTCTGTCCATCTCCATGTTGTTTTAAAAATGGAACCTCACAATATGCTCCACATATTGTGAATCTTCAGTAAGTTAATACTGACTATTGAGCACTTCCCCAAGCAACTGAAGATCATTATTTCAATTCTATTTAGTGAGTAAACGGCACAATTTGTTTATGTATTTATGTACTTATTCAGCTGTCCATGACAGAATATAATATAAACAAAAGGGTTTTTTTTTCTTTTCTGCATATACTAGAGTATCTAATATTTTAATGCTACATTAAGGACACTAAATTTGCTCCCCTAAAACTGAGGTCAAATTTTATAAAAAGTTGTGTATAAGTCCCCAAGCTATTTTCCTATTCACCAACCCAATCGAAAGGCATCTATTGTAAATAAATAGAGCTGGAAATGGAAACTAACATGGAGTACACTAGCGTCTGGTTAGGTCTGACCACCAGTTATTTAGAGAAATCAGTTGCCGCGACTCATTCTTAGGTGCTCAGCTCTCCTGACTTTCTGACGAATTTGAAGGTTTCTCCTGAAATCGCGTTCATCTCCAGCGAGACAATGCACATTGTAGTCCTCATTTGGTAGACTGGCACACTGAGACTTCTGAAGGCTTGAGGCTTTGCCCTTTATCCGGGAAGAGGGGGAAGGAGTTCTGAACCCAAGCCTCCTGTGTGCTGGAGCCTCGGCTGTTTAGCGGGAGACACACACGAACACAGGGGAGCTCTGGGCATCCGTAGCTGTCACCGCGGGTCTGCACAGCGCTGCTTACACCCAGGCACAGACGCATCCGCCAACCACAAGCACACGGTGTTTTTACAAGGAGGTGTTTCCACAGACTCTGCCACTGCTGCAGTGCACACGTAATCACTTTTGTTTATGACACTAGCTGGCGTTTTGGTACTTCAGCAACAAAATCGATCTAGTGGGAATGTCAGCTCCACAGCCGTAATGGTAACCCCGTCCTGCTGTGCTCCCTGGGGAGCACCAGGCTCACTGGCAGCTGTGCAAAGAGGTGTTTGCTCTGCAAGTCACCCTACAGTCCTTGGAGCTCTAGCCAGCGGCCAGGGGCCCCCAGTGGAACACATGGGCTGAGATGGGGCTATGTTTTCCTTCTCCTGGAGGGCTGTGGGAAAGGAAAAGGGAAGTGGTGGCTCTCATCTTTCCAGTGTTAATGGAGGCAGTTCAGCAGAGCGGTGGAAACTTTGCTTGAATCACAGCCCACCTCTGCCCCTTGCACTGTGGCTCTAAGCAAGGCTGCCTCTCATTTTCTCACCTGGACAGTGGCTGCCCTGCTAGTATCCCTCCCCTCCCCCAGGGTGGTTGTCAGAGTGATAATGTACCCCAAGAAAACACCCAAGATGAGGAGCTCTTGATGCCTAGTAATGACTGAAATGCTAGCTGTTAAGTTTCCATCACACACTCCTGTTAGGGGGTTTCAGTAATGATTTTAGTCGGGGAGAGAACAATCACTTCTTAGACCCTGTCCCTTTGGGTAAGAAAGGACCAGAAAAGTTTTATTTGGGGGGTGGCCTTACACCTATTTCTCATTGTGGCTCTTTTTTTTCTACAGATGGATGATGTAATTGATGACATCATCAGCCTGGAATCAAGTTATAATGAAGAAATCTTGGGCTTGATGGATCCGGCCTTGCAAATGGCAAATACGGTATCGATGGCCTTTTTGTTTTTCAAGAAAATCTTGAGGTCATTCTGTGTTCATTCTCTTCCTTCTGAATTCGGTTTATTTTCCACAAGGATTCTTTGAGAAATTTATTCGTAATACAACGGTAAACAAGTGAAGAATTTTGACATCAGACATTAAGAAGCTTACTCGAGTTTATCACAAGCACTGTAATTAAACTCTGTGATCAGGAGCTCAAGTTCACCTTGTTTTAGTTTGTTTTGTATTTTTCTATCTCAGTGCTGGGAATTGAACCTAGGGCCTCACATATGAAATGCCAGCAATCTACCAATGATCCGTATCCTCAGGCATTCCCTTCTCTCTCTGTTTTTCTCTGGGTGTGTGCGTGCATGTGTGTGTACTTGAATGAAGCGTGTCCATATATGTGGAGAGCAGAGGCCCACCTTGGGTGTCATTTCTCCGATGTGGTCCCCCTGTTCTTGGTTTTGTTTTGTTTTGTTTTGAGACAGGACCTCTTAACCTGGAATTTTCCCGAGAGGGTCTTTGGCCTACAGCCCCTAGGTTCTGCCTGATGCCTCTCCCTCAGTGCTGGGACCACCAATTTGTACCAACAGGGCTGGGCTTTTATTTTGTGGGTTGGCCTGGGGATTGAACTCACTCAGGCTTCATGCCCGCAAGCACTAGACCAGACTCTTCAGGTCCCTTTTGAGAAAATAATTCACCTTTTGATAATAATTTCCACTTTCAATAAAGCAATCCAACTCCATAGCTGAGTGAATCACTCTGAACTGTGCTCCTCAAGGCTGCACCTGTTTGACGTAAAGGCACTCATACAATTTGTAAGTAGGGTCCAGTATTGGGGGGTGGTAGAGATGTTGTGATCCCCCCCAACAGCATGGCGTACCCCAGTTGGAGTTCACAAGCTGACCCTCATGAATTTCTAGCTGCTTTCAGTGCTCCTGGGGATCACTCTCCTCTGCAGCTCGCAATTCTGCCCATTCTGCCTATTCTCTTTCAGGCCTTATATTATTTACATTTTAATTCCTGTCTTACCAAAGACTTTTAGTAAGTCCCGTTTGAGCTGGCTTTCAGTCACTGTGTGATGGCCCCATGGCTGGCTGAGATAGCACCATGTTAGGTGGTCTGTGGGGGACTGTCTGCTCAGTTTTTCATGAGACGAGCACTCTAAGTTACCATATTCTCCAATACTCGTGTTCAAGAGACTGACCTGAATTAAGGAGAAGCAAGAAGGGGGTAGTTATTGAGGGAGTGTGCAGTCTGATTTTCAATGAGAAAAGTGCCATTTCAAAGTATATATAACAGAGACTATGTGTTCAAAAATGATAACTTTTGAATTGTGTAATTTCTTTTTTTTTTTTGTAAAGAGAAAACATTGTTTCACAAATTACTAACTTCTAGCAGTAAATGCCCCCAGCCAGGAACAAGACAGCCCCTATTTACTTATCAGTACAAAAATTCTGTTAACTAAGTTAACTGAGGTTTTTTTTTTCCCCAATATGTAGTGATTTCTTCTTGATCTTGTCCAAGTTGTTTTTGAATTTCTGTGGCGTGAGGATGTCCCCTGAAATCGCAAAACTTCTCCTTAAAGAGCTAGCGTCTCTAAAGAGCTAGTGTCTCTTCACAGCCCGCTTAAGCTCAGTCTGTAATTACTTTCGCATGTGTGGTTGTGTGGCTGTGTGGCTGTGTGTCTGGGTGTGTCCTGGCACCCCCACCATGTAAGCACATGGAGAGCAGAGGTTAGTGCTGGCTGTCTCCCTCAGTTTGTCACCAGTTTGGTTGCTGAGGCGAGATCTCTCACCAAGTCTGGAGCTCACTGCTTTAGTAGGACTTGTTAGCCAGTCTGCCCTAGAAGGCTCTTGTCTCAGTCTTCTGGGATCTCAGGCCGATCATTACACACTGTGTCTTTTTGTGTGGGTGCTGGGGACTAGGGTATTCATGTTCTCGGGGCAGGTTTTACCCACCGTGCCATCTCTCCAGCCTCTCACTCTGTGGTGATTTTTTATTTTTTATTTTTATTTTTATTTTTATTTTTTTTGAAGAACAAAGTGATCTGATCAAGGTGCCTCTGCCTGACTCTGTCTGTGCCTTGGCTCCCATGGAACCCTGAGCTTTCGTGCAGTTATATCTGATTAGATAGATGCACACTTTGTCAGTAGCTGGAATCCTGAGATGAACAGAAATAAGACGCTCCAGGAAGCTTCCACTAGGGAATTCAAAAATAGAGTCAAAGACAGGGGCGTATTTACGGTGTGATGGCAATGGCACGGTCTTCTCACAGGGATGCTGCCGAGGAGCTGTCCTTTTTGCCAGGTTGATAAATGCATACCTGGGCACACGCGAACATACTCTGAAATAACTTATTTTGTAATATCCTTGATTTTAGAGTAATTTTTGCAGTGATAAAGAACTTTGAAGTCACTGGACCCAAACCAGTACTCACTGCACTGACTTCCTCTTGCATATTGTTCAAATTCCTACAACGTTTTAGAGACTCTGCTTCCTGGATACCTCAAGTAAAGGAAATTTTCTAGCTCTAGAAGGAGGTAGTGAGACACAGTGGATAGTGTTCGTAGTCTGTGGGCTTGCATGCATGCTGTCTTATAGTCCCATGTTTCCACATCTGTGGGGGAGGGGTGAAGGCTACTAATTATTTTTAACTCATTTATCTTCTTGCCCAGTAAAGTATAAATAGCATCTAGCTTCGGAAATAGAAGCTGCCTTCAACCCTATTGTCTAAATTATTCCTTGTAATTTGTTAGCTGCAAGATCGAATACTTTTGATAGTGTTGGTTTATACAGCTGACTATTCCATCAAGGCTCAACAATATGTCAAACTCTCTGTTAGAAAAACTTTACTTAATAATCATGGGGCACGTCATAGTGGACTGCATATCAGCACCAGGTCCCAACTTGCACCCAGCTGACCTGCACTTGCCGATCCTTCTAAAGACAGTTGACGTGACTCCGTCCACATAGTACCTTCTCCATCTACACCGAAATTGAAGTTGGTGCATGGCTGCATTAGCTGATCACCCCCGAGAAGCTTTCCCAAAGCCGACAGAGCGTCTGTCTCCATGCATCCAGGGGACTGGGGTCATAGCTCAGTGGTAGAGCATTTGCCTGGGATGCCTGAGGCCCTAGGTTCAATTCTCAGTTTGACAATCAATGCATCCTGGGCAAGGGGCAGGAGCTGCAAAGGGAAGGTTTCTCTCCTTGAGCTCACAGCCTGGAAGGGAGAAGCATGTCAGCCTGTAAGTGGAGCCGGACAGTTGAGCAGCAGAGCGGCCATTCAGGGGGATTCCCACTGAGCCATCTTCCACAGGATGTGGTAAATTCATTCCCAGCCAGGGCACATGTCCTGAAGCTGCCCTCAGAAATCAGTGGCCGTATTGCCATATCCACTTCTCTTCGGTGTCACAGGCTGGATCTGGTGAAGCGTTACCTCAAGGGCTTCTTGTTCTGACAAAGCTCTGCCGATAGAAAGGCAGTGTTATGTGGAGGTTAGGAGCAGACTCTAGCTGCAGGCTGGTTGTAGTTTTATTTTGCTTCTGCCATTCTGGGTGTTGAACCCCAGACCTCACCATACTATACAAGTAGCTCTGCACTGCGCTACAACCCCAACCGTTGTGCATACACTGTTGAGTGAGGCATTTGACCTCTCTGCCTCAGGTCTCCTTGTCTATAAAATGCTGAATCAACTGCAGTTAAGTTGATGGGAGAACTTTAAGCTTTCACCCACAGGAAGTAGCCTGGCCCTAATGGGCTCCCAAAGTGGGGATCACCACTGGTGGTTCATCATCTTGGGGTTCAGTTGTCTAAGTTCAATAACTAAGCAACTACAAACTATTCCATTTTAACATTTTCCCTCCACAATAAAGTTTAGCTTGAATGTTTATCAGTTTAGGCATTCCCACTGCTTATTTGGTTCTTTGAAATGCTTTGTTTCAAGTTAACTACTTCTTTTAAAAAGTGGACAGAACACTTAGAGAGGAAGCGATCCTAAGGGAATTGAGGTCTAGAAATAACTGTTCCAAGGGCACAAGGGCCCTCTTGTGCTCTACCAAACAAAGAATAAAAGTCCCGTTTACTTGTGTTAACTGTGCAGTGGATATTCAGAGACGGACTTAGGCCCCTCCACAAAGACAAACAATAACATTATAAAGTGATCACTTACTTGGGAAAATATTCATTTTGGTGGTGAGAGGCGCCAGTGCACTCAGTTCAGAGCATGGCTAGGACAAGGGCAGCGGTACCCTCACTTTGTCCTCACCTGAGCTGATCAGACGATGGTTCTCTAGGTCCACACTCCCCCTTGTGTGTGAAAGTGAAATCTTGCTCAGAACGTGAATGTATGGAATGCCCAGCAAAGATACAGACTAGCCAAGTAAATACCTGTCTCTTCTTCTCTTAGTCCAGGAGTGTTATTCTGACCCAGTTTGACTTAACTGTGTCTATGAGCAGATTTTTCTAACCTGGAAAGTGAACTACAGAGTTTTGGTTTTCTTTTTTCTTTCTTTCCCTTCACCTTATTTCTCTTTTTCTCTCCTTCTCTCTCTTCCTTTTCCCCTTTCTCATTTTTTTCTCTCTCCCCTTCCCCCTTTTCAGTGTACATTCTCTGGTACCTAGAGACTTGCTTTTCATTGGCTTATTTGGTTTTGAGTTTTTTTTTTTTTTGAGACAGGATCTCTTGTAGCCCCTGCTAGGCTTGACCTCCTGATCCTCCTGCCTTAGTTTCAAAGGCTGGACCACGGGAATGGCCACCATGCCTGTTTTTGAATTTGTTGTACGTAACTTCTGCCTCTCATTTGTCCCTAATTCATGATCATAGAAACAGGAGTGTATGTTCATAGACAGTTTGTATATGAGGACAGAAGGTACACACGGTTTCTATAATCTAGAGCCACTGGATTAATCTTGTAGCTCATTGTTTCCAATTTTTAAGTTATATTCTTGGTTTATTAATACTCAGATGGAAGTCCCCCCCTCCCCAAACTAATGATTTGGACTGGATATTTTTAGACTTCAGTTCCTAGGAGCTTTTGTAAGTTTCATCTTTCTGGCCCTTTACAGTGCTCTATGCTAATGCCTCTCACATCCCCTTACAGTGGACAGGAACAAAACCAAACACACAGAGAGCAAGGCTGACCCGGAGGTGACCTGTTTCTCAATAGAGCCACTCAGAGCAATGACTGCTAATAATCAGAGTCACCCTTTATCACAGCCTTAGCTGGAAGGCATTGAAATGTTGCCCAAGGGCATTTCAAATTAGCACTGTGTGTATTCACCGGAGGGGCGTAGGTGTGGATATTGTGTTTATGCAGAATCTGTTAACAGTCCCATCACCAAGCCATGCCCACCCACCTGTCCTGCCTGCCGCCTATCAGAAAGTAGCTTGAACTGTATACGAAGCCCTCCAGCCCCCTCTCTTTCTGCCAGGGCTTTAGATCATGCATGTTTGGAGGCCAGCATCAGAAGTCTTTCTTAACTAACCCACCTTTTTTTTTTTTTTTTTAATTTTTTGAGACATTGTCTCTCATTGAACCTGGACCTTGCCAATTAGGCTAGACTGACTGACTAGCTGCTGGTAAGCTTCAGGGATTCTCCTCTTCCCAACATGTGCCCAGATTTTATGTGGGTGTTGGGGATTTGAACTCAAGTCTTTATGCTTGAACACAAGCATTTTATCCACTGAGCCATCTCCCAACCCCCAGATCCAAAACTAAAAAAAAAAAAGGTTCTACAACCATCTAACCATCCACCCACCGATCCATCCATCCATCCATCCATCCATCCATCTATCATCTGTCTATCTGACTATCTACATTGTGTTTATGTGCATGTGTACTGTAGCGTGTGGAGGTCAGAGGTGTATTTGGAAGCCAGTATTTGAACTCAGGTTGGCAGGCATGGCAAGTGTCTTTCTCCACTCAGCCATCCCATTGACCCCCAAATCCAAAATATTTTTAGTGTCAACCTGATGCTCTAAATAAAATTTAATCCTTAATTGCATGAGGTTGCCTTAAAGAGAATTTGATACCAAATTTCATGAGAAAGGTCGCAGTCCAAAAGCTGGTAAACTAAAAACTTCGTAAAAATGTATCTTTTGGCCACGTGTGTATAAGATGTAAATGAAAAACAAATTAAATTTCATGTTTTTATCTAGGTGTCATTCCCCAAGATAAATAAATATATAAATGAACATATATTACAACATTATTTTAAAAGAGTAAAAAATTTCTAATCCCTTCTGGTCCCAAGGTTTTCAAGTAAAGATCCTGTATACTGAGTGCCGCCTTTGCTGGGTCCCTCCAGGTCCCTCCATATTTAATTACATTTATGTGCTTCCTGAAATGACTTGTCTAACACATATGAGAGAGCATATGATCAGGCAAAGAAGAGGCTAATTGGCAAAGTGCTATTGACGAAGTTATCGAGGAGACATTTGAAATCGCCTGGAAACGCTAAGGGTCTGTGAAGGAAGTAGTAAGGCATAGCGAACGTGTAGAACGTTTTCCAGGGCTTAAGAAGAGGAACTGTGACTATTGTCCCCAGCTCGCTGTAAGGAAATCCATGTCCAATTTGGACATCAATGCAAAAAAAAAAAAAAAAAAAAAAAGTGAATTTGCTACTTTAAAACATCCCGCAAGATCCAGAGGAGACAGTACCACTCTAAGGAATTAGTGAGGCTGAGCATTTCTTTGATCCCTTTTTAAGCTCTGTAAACTTTTATTAAAGTCTTTGGGCTCCCTCTTGTGGCTCTCTGGAATAATTTCAACCTCAAGGAAGCCAGCCTTTTCTTTTGCCATAAGGATGCTGCTTTACAAAAAAAAAAAAAGGAAAAACTTGCTGTTGCTTTTCTTTATAAAAGAAAGAGAGAAAAATAGGGAGAGGTGAAAAAAGGGAGGAAGAAAAACATGGTTTGATAGAAGCCACATGTGGAATCCTATTTCATAGGAATAGCCGGTGTGGATGGGACATCTGTCCCTTTGGGCAGCAGGTAACACCTTGTCTCCATGCTTGGAATGCACCTCCCAGACAGGAGTCAGCGCCAGGCCATCCCTTTGCTCCCTGTATAAACAGACTGTATAATTCAGTGTGAATGCTCAGACTTCCCTGTTTTGGAGGCGCAGTTCTTTATAACAAAGAGTGTCCTTTCCACAGAGCCTGGAATGGGGTATGGGTTTTATTAGAGAAACTCAGCAGTCGTTCAACAACTCATTGCTCTTCTTGTCTATGTCCAGTTACCTGTCTCTGGAAACTTGATCGACCTCTACAGCAACCAGGGCCTGCCACCCCCAGGCCTTACCATCAGCAACTCTTGTCCAGCCAACCTTCCCAACATAAAGAGGGAGCTCACAGGTACGTACCTATCACATATGCCTCTTACTGTGAGAGTCTACGCTGTTCCTCAGTGGACAACATTATCAACGTAGTAGCAATGTTTCCTGTCCAGCTAGCAGATGTGCTTCTAGCGTCTGTGGTGCCTGAGACCGTGCAGTAATTTAATATGCAGTATTGAGATGTCAGGGTACCAGTTTTCGGTGTTTGCTGAGAGCCTTTGTCTGTGACTGCTGTGCCCTTTGGGTTGGGGTTATAGGCAGTGTTCTCCCCTGTAACATGCCTCTCCCCTACCCACTGTATATTTTGCTTGCCAAGCTAAGGGAGATTTGAGTTTGAGGATCCTGCTTTGAACTTTCCATCCGAGCCCTCATTTGGGATCGGGTAAGAATTTATTTCTTACATCTTTAGATGCCTCCTGCTCTTTTCACTGTATTGTGTGTAAGAAATTTATTATAGGAGATATAAATCATAAAATGAAGCCATCAGAATGTTTGCTCTTGAGGCAAGTGTGAAATTACCTATTTTGCCACTTTGTTTGATGCTTTAGGGAAGGCATTTGACCAATAAAACATGACAGAAACTGTATTAGAACCAGCATTCTACCATGGTGAATTTTATGGTCCTTGGCCCAAATCCCTTTTTATTATTTAGTCCTTAACCTCTTTCAGAATTGGAGGCAGGAGTGAGAATATGGGGTATGGATTTGTTGTAAGGATTCTTACCCTATCTGAAGGCATTACTACAAAAACTATTTCAGAAAATTTTGACAGAAGAAAAACAGGTTGTTTTTCTTTTCTTTTCTTTTCTTTTCTTTTCTTTTTTTTTTAGAAAGCGTTAATTGGGGTTTAAAAGGTAATTTATTAGTAAACAAAAACTATCAAGAGTAAAACCATAAAAATTATTAAGGAACAATGGAAAGTGAAACTTTATGCTCCTATGTGAGAAAAAGAAAGAAAGAGAGACAATGATTTGGATTGACCATCTGAATGTAGGAAATTCTGATTTTAGTTCCGCCTGCATCTGCATACATACATGCACCTGTAACTACGGGTTTCATGCTGACATGGGTATATTCTGAGAAACAGGTCACATGATTTTATTGTGGTATGAATGTCACAGAGTGGCTTTACATAAACCAAGAAGGCTGAAATATCATTAAATGATGCACTCTTAATTATATTAACTAATCTACATTCTGTAACTATTTCAGTGCCATGTGGCATAGATATTTACATTTGTATATAATATGTATACATATATACATACATTATAGTGTGATGAATGAATTTGCCTCAGAAGCTATAAGTCTTGCCATTTTGTGGGAAAATCGCTTTAGCATACTATTTCAAATGCTACTTTTGAAGGGAAAATGACATGGTATAATAAATCTCAGAATCAAAAACAGTATAATTTTTTGGTATTTTTATTTGTTCCTCTCAAGGCAAAATAAAAAGTCACTTGACACCAAACTATCAGAGAAGTTGCTATTCAAATAGGACTTTTCAAATATAATTGCCAACAAATGCTTCTAGACCCTTCCTGACTTAGGTTTCCATAGACAGACAAGCAGTGAATACACAGTGACTCCTAAGAATTGTGATTTGATTCGGTTCTAGTAGGTCCTGACAGAACTTGGCTTCCCATCCTGGGGGAAAAAAATTCTCATCAGCTAGTCAGAGGCCATGGAGAACAGACTGAGAAATATTTCCACTCAGTTTTCATGTCACTGCATTACAAAAGCATAAAAATACTGAAAAGTTGTTTGGCCTGAAAATCAAGCTTGACTCTTAATGATAGAATGTGCTATCACGAGCTGGAGAGATGGTTCAGTGTTTAAGAGCATCCACATGGTGGCGCGCAACCATCTGCAATTCAGGGCTCAGGTGATTTGACGCCCTCTTCTGGCCACCCTGGGCATTGCAAACACATGGTGCACAGACACAAGGAACCACTTAAGCACACAAAATTAAAATAAATAAATCTTTAAAATGACATCAAGTAATTTCTAACTATTTATTTTATTACTTTTAGTACTAGAATGTAGCCTCGCTGTGTTGTGGCTAGCTCTCACTTACCTCATCTGGTTTGTGGAAACTGAGTTTTGCAGAGATTTAATGTATGTAGCGTAAGAAGAAGCAGAAATCTGTAGAAGTAATGATTTGAAAAGTAGTGTTTTCATTAGCTTACCTTGAGCTAAGCTTCAAATGTTCAGAAGACATGCTTTATGATTTACATTGTTGTGCCTCTCAAAGTTCCAGTTTCTAATGACTTCATTCACGTGCACAGCGTGTATTTTCCCCACAGAGTCTGAAGCAAGAGCATTGGCTAAAGAAAGGCAGAAAAAGGACAATCACAACTTGAGTAAGTTTGCTTTATTTACGTCCCTGGCACTCGACCTTAAAGTCAGCATTCTCCCTGCATCAAAAGTTGCTTCCAGTAATTTCTCTAGTTGTTAAAGGTACAGTGAGACTACTTCTGAGAGATTTTATTTCAGATCACTCTATCTATCTATCTATCTATCTATCTATCTATCTATCTATCTATCTATCTATCTATCTATCATCTCTCTATGTATGAAGGGCATAGTGGTAAAGTAACCTCCTCCCAATTTTATAAAGTTTGCCTGTTAATATATTTATTAATAGATTATATAGAGAGAGTCAGGGACAGAGAGAAAGAGATTTCTATTTTTGAAGAACTATTTTTGTTTATTTGCAGTTGTAGGCGTGTGTGTGTTCGTGTGTGTGTTGAAAGGGAGTCTTCATTCCCAGCTACCCAATTATAAGTACTGCTCACACTGGAACTTATAGCAAAAGGGGATTTGGAGATCACCTTTTCCAATGAGATTTCAAGGTTAAAAAAAAAGAAGACCAAAAAGAAAAAAGAAAGAAAGAAGGATCAAAAGAAAGAATAAAAACACATGAGGAGGGCATAGTGGGTAAATTAGTCCCCCAATTCCATGACGTTTATCTGTTTCTCTAAAACATTTTCTAACTTCAGTACATTTTTATGAATGGAGTTGACTGGGTTTAGAGGTAGGAAGATGGGGAGTCTCCGTTTGCTTTTTTTTTTTTTTTTTTTTTTTTTTTTTTCCTAAATTGAAGTCTGAGAGCATGAGTCTTCTATAGAAACCTTGCTTTGGATTTCAAAGAAGAAAGAAGAGCAGCACTGCCCCAACAGCCAGATGCATGCATCGCTTGGGGGTGTTATTTTCCCCAGCTTTTTCCTGTGCAGCAAGGTGAACTCAGAGAAGGAAAGGAGGCATAGCTTTGCATGCTTCGATACAGCATGTCTTAGTACCCATATTCTGCTGCCGCCTTTTGTTTATTTATTTTTGTTGAACCGTGTGTGCTCAGAACTTGGTATTAATTTCTTAAATGCTGCCACATGGTAGTTATTCTATGTTCTGACTCTTCCGAGCCATCTCACCACTGTGGTTTGGTGTTGTTGGTGGCTTTCTCAGATCCACCGTCCTAGAAATGTTATGTTGACGCCCTGTGCACGGAGGGTTTGCATCTCTGTGCTGGGAACTGAGAAATACCCCGGTGAGGGCCCCATGCCCTGTGTGCTACGCACATCAGCTCTGTCCTCCCCACTTTCCATTTCCATTTGAGAAGCTTTCCTCGTTGTTCACCTAAACATCTGAGCTTGCAGGTTAGAAATTTCCCTCAGAGTCCAAATAATTTTGCTCAGAGACAGTCCTCCTCTCAAAACTCCCTGAAATAAGATAATGATGTGGTATCGAAGAGCCATGTAACTGAGAAACAGGAAATGAAGTTGGATCCCAGCAAAGGTGGTGCTGTGTTAGTCCCCACCAGCGCCTTCTCGTTCAAGGTTGTCAGGAAATTGCAGATGGGGCTCACCTCTCAGTTGGAGAGCTGTAAAAACAGTCTTCTAGCCTAACTCCTGGGAATTAATGCTTGGGGTCCTGTTGATCTTGACTCAGCCCTCCCTTTCTGGGAATTAGCTTACGAAAGTACTTGCTGAAACATGCGCATGAGTGCCTGAATGTCTTCAAGTTGCTCTTCCAGCCATGACAAGTTGTGGACTTCCAGTTTGATACCAGGCAATTTTCTATCAGAGTGAATTGGACAGATGGCTTTTCTACCAGTGGGCGCATTCAAGTCAGACGTCAGGTGCCACATAGTAATTACGGAGAGGAACAAGAAGGAAATGTTGGGTACCACACCCCATTATGAAAGGAAATGCATTGGAGGGGTGTAACTACTTGGATTTGTGGGTACACAGGCCAATATCTAGAAACCAGTTGCCCCAGGCATGCAGATGCTGGCTATAGAGTTCATTTGACCTTTACCTTCATTCACTTTACGGTGTGTGTTCCTTAAGTTTTATGAAGTCCTAACACTTTTATAATAACTGTTTAAGAGGCAAATCCTACACAAAAGGTAGATGTGTCGTCTCTAAATGTTGACAAAGGAAGAACCGCAAAAGTGTGCAAGGGAGTGAGAAAAGTCAGGTAGAGAATGTTTTAGTAAAGGTACTGTTGGTGTATTTACTGTGCCAGGCTCATGTGCTTGCCTGGCATGCAATGGTGAAAAGTAATAGGTGGATAGTAAGTGTTACATTCGGAGTTCTGTGAGAGGATGAAATGGAGCCCAGTAAATATATTATCACAATAGGCTTGAGGGTAGTGGGCCATTTTGAATAGGATGACCTGGGAACTCGTAGAGGTAAATCTGAGTTGCCACCTACAGGAGGAAATGACTCTTTAGGGATCTGAAGGAAGAGTGTTCTAGGCAAAGGAGATCGCTTATGAAGATGGCCAGTGTGTATCTGGCATAGAAGTGGGAATAACAGAGCCAGTGGGGGCAAAGCAGAAAGAACACAGGCACATTACCAAAGATGATACCATCATGCTGGAAGAGGAGCAAAAAGTGGTATCAGCAGGGCAGGGCCCACCAGATCCTTGTAGGCTACCTAAAGGATCTGCCTTTTCCTTGGATAAACTAGGACTGGTGGGAGCAGGGCTCAGGGTTGACACGACCTCACTTAGGATTGAGTGGAGACCCTCCCTCTGACCTGACATGGTAAAGGGAGCAGAGGGCTTGTGGGACTCAGCTGTGTCAGTTAGGAGGCTTATGATAAGCCAGGCAAGGGATGGCGTTCCATTGCAGGAAATAGCAGAGGTTGCTAGGGGACAAGGTCAGGAAATATTTTGATAGCAGAACGTATTAGATGATAGATGTGGAAGATGGGAGGAAAATGGTATAGAACTGATTGCAGGGCTCCGGCCTAAACAGTTAGAAAGATGCTGTTCCTAATGAGGTATGTTACCATTTAACCTGAGGGAAGGTGAAGTTGAACTGAAAAGAGTGGGAGCTTGTGTCTACAAATCCCTGTAAATCAGCACCATTTGCTGTTATTTAGTATGCTGTTCTTGTTTCTTATATCTCTAGAACTCCAATAATAGGAATTAGCATTATATGTAGATATGTCTTTATGTGCATCTTTAATCATTGGAATAATTACTTATCTATGACAAACTGTTATTTATATTGGGAAAACCACGAATGACGTCCAGTTATCTACACGTGCAGAATACTAGGGGGTGAAATATAAGTAAAAATATTAGACCTTAACTTATTTGGGATTTATTTGCTAGATTAGATGAGTTGAAAACATTTCCTGTGTTTACTAGGTCATTGTCCCCTGAGAGTGATAGCCGTAGTGGGTGTAGATCACAGGATGAGAATGCTCACAGGATGCATTATGACATAAATGACGCATTACCCAGTGTATGGCGTAAATGACACGTTACCCAGGATATGACGTAAATGACGTGTTACCCAGTATATGACATAAATGATGCGTTACCCAGTGTGGCAGCCATTTGCCGTTTAATGCCTAGAGCATCTGAGTTGTGGCTAGTTCAAACCGGGCTGTGCCAGAGAAGAGCTGGCCTGGTAAGACACTTGCCTAGCCTGTGCAAAGCCCTGGCATTAATCTCCAGCACCACACACAAAAATATGCTGAAGCATAAAACGTTTTGATTTCCAAAGCATAGTGTGAAGAAAGGAATGTGTACATTCTAATTTAATTTTTTAATACTCATTACCTGTTAAAAATGGTACTGGCTTACACAGAATAGATTTAATGAAATATTAAAGTTAATTTAATGGCTTTCCGTTTTCTAGTGTAACATGGCCACTAAATCATCTAAAATTACATATGTAACTTGTATATTTATTTTTTTGCCAGTCCTGGGCTAGAGGAGGAGTTTCTGTAGATCTCATAAGCAAAAATAAAGATTTTACTGTTTTAAGTGGTAAAAGGAAATCAAAACAAGAATGATATTTTGTGACCAGAAAAAAATTACATAAAATTCAAATTTCAACATCAAAAGGTAATTCTACTGCTGTACCTGAGCAGGTATGCACTGCCCAATTTATGCTGTTGTTTTTGCTATATTTTTAATTGTGTCATTGCAGATCTGTGTCCATTTTGCCAGTACAAATTTGCTTTCTCTTCAGTTAAACAATGCAGATGTGTCCAGTTTTGAGGTGTAACTGAGGATCCAGCCCAGATTTCAGGGTTGTTGCAGAATTAAGTGGGAAATTGCATATCCACGAGCGTTATAAGTGAGGGCACTCAGAAGGCAGCTCATTTCTTCTTAAAGTTCATTACCCTCCAGCACCCCAAAGTAAGAGAAGCGCAGGGGGACGTAGGCTCAAGTTTACATTGTCCTGGCTGGTGGAGCCAGTGTGCACATGCCTTTAATGAGATGTGCTGACCGCGTGTGTGCCGCTGTTACTAATGGCCCTTTCCCATGCTCTTTTCTTGAAGTTGAACGAAGAAGAAGATTTAACATAAATGACCGCATTAAAGAACTAGGTACTTTGATTCCCAAGTCAAATGATCCGTGAGTACAATTGCATGTTAATCTGCATCATATATTTTCACACCTTTCCATTTTCTCCTATGTTGCAAAATATGTTCTTAGAGAAATTAAAGGACTCTCCCTCCCCTTTTGCTTCCTTTCCTAAGTATTTTCTTTGGTTAATTTAACCAAACTAAAAATTTAAGAGAAATATGCTGAATTGTACAAGGATTATTGGAACTGAGGCGGTTAGCTTTGAGTATGAGGAACAGGGTTTATGGGAATCTGAGAACTCGGCAGAAAATTTTGAGCTTGGGGCCGGGGGAGGGAGGACTTTAAGGGCCATACATACAAGATCCCAAGAGCTGTTAAGGCGAGCTGTGTAGGGTGTGTGAACCTTCACTTCGTAGCATCACTAAGTGGGCACTGATGAGCAGATACTGGAAGCATCAAGTTCAGTGGTACTGGGAAGACAAGTATCAAATGTTCTTATGAAAACTTGCATATTCTTGGTATGTTTTACCAATCCAGGGGGAAAAAAAGCAATGGTTAATCCTCTAATGAACTACACGTCAGCTGATCTGTGTTTCAGCCTTTGGTCCTCCCCCGCCTCCTTTCTCAGAGATAACAGCTAACAGATAATTTCCAAGTCTTTCCTACCACGTTATCTGCCACGTCAGCAAACTGGTCAACAAATATACAATTTTTATCCATTAGAAATTGGCCCATTTGAGGTAAAGGGCTGGGGATGTATATATTTTAATGGCCCCCACAGGCATTCTATGAAATTAGCCTTTGAATATGACCTTTTAGCTATCTAATAAAAAGTAAAGATGCAATCAAGCATTATTCATGCAAGGCTTATTAAATTCACGAGTCACATTATTGTCGGGGAATTTGTAGCAAAATAAAATAAAACCATTACCTATTGTGAGGTGGTTTTGATGAATGTGCAGCAGTTTCGTTTTCTAACTCTTTGCTTTCCCAGGCTTCAAGGAGAGACATTTTCAAGCTGGAAACGTCCACGGTCTCAGTTGTGCTGCACAAATTTATCCTCCTAAAGGCTATGACCTTCATTTCTTATAGTCAGTCTTGCATGGTAGTTGAAATTGAATTCCCATTTCCTGTTCTTTCCCCCCTTTTTAGCATTTTTTTTTTTTAAATTGAAGCGTGGGAATCTCTTCAGTCATTATAAAATTATAGGGCCCCACAGGAAGCTTGGATTTACATGCCCATTATAATAGAATGCTTACATGTTTACAGCTTGAACCAATAGGGAGCTTTCATGATAGACATTGTCTTAAGATAAAACAGACTGTAATATGGATAGTGGTTTTTCCAAACCAGGTATCTAGAGTGTGCCTTGGATCTGAAATAGAGACACACGATACCTGATTAGTTCCCGTGCATGCTCGTTCCTTCCCCCAGAACGAGTGTACTTTGGTTGGTTTTATATATTTGGGGAATATATATACTTCTGCATGAAAAAAAAGATTCCTCTAAATTACCTAAAACACAATATTTGAATCTATGTTAGCCAAAAAACACAATTGAGTCTCACCCCACTGCCAGATAACTGAGAGGAATACTTCTTGAGAACAGAGTGGCTAGCAGCTTGGCTTGAAAAGCCCAGCTCTGGCTACTCACATTGGTGGCCTGTGTGAAGCCCTGTCCATTGCAGGTGTGTTTCTAGATGGCTGGCACAGCTTCTGTGACTTTGATTTTTAGTCTTGATAGTTGGTCCCTGTGCTCACTCTTGGTTACTTGGGACGCCCCCCTGGGCTGCCATTTTTGATGCTCAGACACTAAGGACCCACTCCAGAGACTCCTCTGGGAGCTGTAGCTCTCCTTCTCCTTGGAGAATGCCTATTTTGTTCTCCAACCAACCCATCTGAGTATCGGTTACTAGGTGCCTTGTTTCAGTGGCCTGCCACTCACCTATTCCACATGACACTTCTGCTCTTACTAGCTGTAGATGATGGGGTTCATGATTCTGCTTATACCAGATAGATTCTGATTTTATCATCATCATTGTCATCACTATGTTGAAGATTGTCTAAAAAAGGGATTGGGAAGATTATTTCCATAAATTCAGTTCATTTTTCATTGTTTGTTCTGAGGTAGTCTAAGATTTTTTTTTTTTTTAGTATAACTTTGTCCTACTTTGCGTTCCATTGTTGTGATAACACCTCGAGCAAAAACATCCTGTTAAGGAAGGGTTTTATTTGGCTTTCATGTTCTAATCATAGTCCATCATTGATGTAAATCAAGACAGGAACGTGGAATCAGGAAATACAACAGAGGGATACAGAAATGCTGCTTAGTGGCTTGCTCTAGAAGGCCTGCTCAGCCTGCTTTCTATTATTTTCCAGGACCACCTTCCCAGGAATGTCAGAGCCCATATAGTCTGGGCCCTCCCACCTCCATCATGATCAAGAAAATGTTCCGACAGGCTTGTTTACAGGCCAGTCTGAGGGAAGGACTTTCTCAATTGATATCTCCTCTTCCCAGATGACCCTAGCTTCTGTTGAGTTGACCAAAACCTAACCGGCATGAAACTGAAAGTCACACTTTTGATGATAGCTGCTGAGGTTGGAAATCCAGGGCGGTATCTCCCCAGGTCTCTAACCATGGCAGCTGCAGTTAGCGTGTTGAACTCTGAATACAGCACTTGTTTCAGTATTGAGTAGTAGTCTCAAGTTCATATACAGCAGCTCATCTCCTTTGAGTTAGTTCCTCACCTACAAGGCTGCTCGCATACATGTAGTGTCCTTAATTCGAAGATGAGAAAATGGGTACATAGAGGGGTTAGGTGATGGCCAGGGTAATTCCTGAGAAAAAGTCAAGATTGGTATTTTTCACACCACAGACAAGCGGTGGGGGCTCATGGGACTTTGGTTGTTCCTCTTATCCTGTCCCAGCAAGTAAACCTTTATATAGTCCCAGATATATACAACTATTTAAGGCAGTTTACAAATAAGATTTGGTAATCCTCACACACAAATACTTGATTTCACCTGGCGAGGGGTCTGTGCCCTAGATGGAATTCTCCTGTACTGGCTTCAGCACAATGTCTCTTCCTTGTAAAATGTGTTCATCTGGAGGAAGTAAGATGATGTATACCAAAGGAGTGACCAGTGACCAGTGCAGGGTGAACGCTTAATGAGTTTTAGCCATGACTTATGTGCAGTTGCCACTCCAGCTGGACTTTGAATACTGAATTTTCTTTGAACTCCAATTCCTAAAAGGGTCCATTGTCCTCCATCTCATCACAGGGACATGCGGTGGAACAAGGGAACCATTCTGAAGGCCTCCGTGGACTACATCCGGAAGTTGCAACGGGAACAGCAACGTGCTAAGGACCTTGAAAACCGACAGAAGAAGCTGGAACACGCAAACCGGCATCTGCTGCTCAGAGTACAGGTATCTGCCGTGTGCCACATAAAGTGATGTCAGGACAAGAGGAGGGACAGTGTAGGGAGCCCTGGGAGCTGGAGACATGGTCTTCATATAGGTGGTCCTTCTTGTGTATAGGTCCCGTATTTGTGAGTTTGCCTCCTGGTGAAACAGTATTGGTAACTCCAAATTAATATTGATGGCGCTTTCACGGTCACTCTTGGACATGTGCAGAGTGGCAAATTCGAGTTGCCTGCAGGCTCTTTTCCAGAAGGCTGAGTACCCAGGTCAAGGTCTTTTTGTAGCAGCTCTCTGAATTATAGCCTGTTGAATGTCTTGCCTTCTGTCTTCCACCGTGTTGTCAGTTTGGTTTCATCTTTCTGTGGCCCCCAAGCATCATAAGAAGGTTACGATGTGCTGTCTGGGTATCAGAAAGGCCTCACCCAGGCAGAAGTTAGTAGTCCTGGATGGATGTTCAGTGCAAATGAATCTACCCTGCATTATGCTTTAAGATGTACATCATGGTCATTAAACACCCTTCTTCCCGGTGCTTCTCACACTTTATGTCTCCCCAACGGTAACAACATGATTGCTACCACTTCGGTGATCTTCAGCCAAGGGGCCAGAAGGCAGAAGGTGGTCATCATCTAGGACTGGGCTTTAGAATCCAGGAGGTTAAACAGAGACTATATGTACTATGAACATCTTTCTCTTCCCTCCTCTCCTCCTCTCTTTTTTAATTTGTTGCCTTTTATGTTGCATCTCTTATGTAGAATGGCCTTAGGTATTTAATACCTGGTCCTTAGTGTATCTGTTTATAAGGTAGCTTATGCTACTTCCTTATTAAACTATTAAAATAATAGTATGTTTTTCCAAAGAGAAGCCAAGTTTTGTTTTGTGTTGAGGTTCAAAACTCACACATTCGTATTAAATATGAATGTTGTGAAATACGGGCCTTGGCAATTCCATGGCAAGCCCCCCTGGCTTTCTTCTGTTGACTGTGAGGCTGGCTCCAGCACTCATGCACTATTGTAGGGAACATCACTAATTAGGCAAGCTCCACAGTGCCTGCCTCCGCGCCTCAGAGCTCTGCATGAGATTTAACAGCTTTTTTAGACACAGGAGCAACTGTTTGAATCTGTTGATAAACACTTGTAGTTAAACAACAAAGGGTACGGGAAGAGATGCTTGCATCTCCTTGAGCTAACTTCTTTGCCTGTGTTTTGAAAAGGCAGGCTGCGCTGTTCTTCATGTCGGTGGAGGGTTCCGAGAGCCTGTGTTTTCAGCCAAGGCCTGGGGCCTTCCCTTCATTTTCAGCCTAAGTGGTGCATGCACAAACCTTCATGGGAGAAAGAGCAGGAAGTCTTATTCTCAGGGGAATTGTTTTACTAAATAGCCCAGGGCTTCAGCACATGGCCTGAGAGGCTCGTTTCTGGAGCTGGTCTAAAGGAACAGGCAAGCATTGGCGTGGTATCTCATGCTCCTGTGTCTCTCACTAGTCTTGCTCCCTGAGTAGGAGCTCACAGAGCCAACAGTTGTACCACAGACCGACCGTGGCTATCCCCATGCTCGTGCACCAAGTTGAGAGGCCAGGCCACGCGCAAAGTGCCTTTCCTCTCTGATGACTCAAAGGACACATTTCCCATCTATGTTTTATTTTAATTTGTTATTGTTTCACAAACATGGGAGAGTATTAACACATGGAAGGAAAATTAGGCACGAGTAAGAATCCCTGCTGTTCATTTTAGGAATGTGGGGGATTCATCAAAAGCTAAGAGGGGGAGCATGGTTCCAAGGCCTCTTAAAATGGGGTCTTAGAAATCACAGACCTAAGTGTGTCAGTCAGCTAGTACCTCTACTAGCTGAGAGTGGCAGAGGTTAAATAGCAGGAATTAGCTTTCTCACTGCTTTGGAGGTTGTCAGTCTCGGGCAATCAGACCTGTCAGTGAGATGGGCTTCGTTTACTTCATCTACTCGTCAAAGCTCCCGTGGGCCGGTCTCCTCATAGTTTGAGGTACTGGAGCTGGGGCTTCAGTGTCTTCATTTAGGAGCCCAGTTCAGCCCCTGATAAGAAAGTACACATGGTAAGAAAGTATTCATGTTACAGATGAGCACTTGCCAAATTAAAATAATAATAATAATAACAACGATTTCCCTTTGCCAGGGTGAGGTGTGTTAGATTTCCTGAAGCCCTGCTTGCTTGTGTGGGACCTGGAGAGTATTTGCATTCACCCCCTAAACTGTACTTCATGGCACCATTGGTGTCTTAGTAACTTCATTGCATCTGGAACCCAAAAGAAATACCTGCTGTTTCAGTCACACCCAAACAATGTATTGAGCATGTATGTCTTCACAGCTTTCTGATGGTTTGAAGGAAATGCGTATAACTGAAAAATAAGCATTTTGTTTGATTTTTTTCGGACCCCAACCCTTACTAAGTTAATTACTAATATACAGTGCTTCTACACACTGTACAGTTTATGGAAATCTTGGGGTGGGGTGAGGTAAGCCGCCCTCGCCTCCCATTCCATGCCAAGGCTCATGAGGTCCTTGTCACTATAACCTCTCCAGTAGCCCATTTGGCAGTGCTATGAGGCAACCAAAAAGTGTGTAGATGCATGGCCACCCTGGAAGTGGGGAGCTGTGCTCCTGAAAAGTATGGAGCACATTCATGTGGAAACTGGGGATTGAAATATGTGTAGCACACTCGCCCTGAAACTGGGGACTGAAAAGTATCTAGCACAGTCTCCCTGAAAATGGGGATGGAAATATGTGTAGCACACTTATGTTGAAGCTGAGCACAAATAAACAAACAAACAAATAATAAATAAATAAATAGATAAACGTATAGCGCACTCATGTAGAATCAGGAGACTGGGATTTGATAGTTGAGAGAATCATTTCCCTTGAAATCTTAAAATATCTCCTAATCAGTTTATATACCATTGTATTACTAGTTACTCAGTTTTGTATTTCTATTAGCTCTCATTTTACATTTTTATTAGCATATATACCTTGTACAAAAAGCTGGGTTTCCTTAGGGTGTTTCCATACATATATATCATGGACTTTGCTCAGTTATATACCATCTCTTCATTAACTTCTCTTGTCCTGCCTAGCTTCCTTTCATTGGCCCCCTTTATCCTTTCCTGAGTATCCCTTTTACTTCCATGTCTTACATGTATAAACTTTTAAAAATCTAAATTCCACATATGAGAGAAAACACACTATTTGCCAGAGTTTGTCTTATTTTATTACACTCAGTGATCTCCAGTTGCATTCACTTTCCTGCAAATGATTTCAGTGTTTCTTTAGAGCTGAAGAAAGCTTTTGTGTAGGCGTATCGCATTTTCTTGATCAGCTCATCTGTTGATGAACATCTAGGTTGACTGCATCCTGGCCACTGTAAACAGCACAGCGATAGACATAGATGTGCAAGCATGTCTGTGTTGCGCTGACTTAGAGTCCTTCGAGACAGTAACTAAGGTTATGATTGGGGAGCCATGGGTAGTTCTGGTTTTAGTTCTTTGAAGAATGTCCACGTGGACTGCTATAGTAGCTACATCCATTTACATTTCTACCTGTAGGTGGTTTTTGTTTCATCTTTTAATGATGGCCTGTCTGACTTGGGTGCTTATCCTTGTCTTAATCATTAATATCTGTAAGAGAGTGTTTCTATTTGCAATGGATTTCCTATACTACCAATGCCATCTGTCTTATACTTTGGGAAGATTTTATTTTTGAAATTTACTTTGACAATGTATAGTTATCCCCAGGTCTGGTGTTTTAAAAATAGAAAATAGACTTCAGCTATTAAGCAGCCTCAGGTTCACAGTACCATACAATGCAAGCCCTCCACACGCCATCCAACCATGTAGCCCCTCCGATCATAGGACATGGGCACCACAGTGGCCCCTTTGTTAGAACTGGCTTCTCCTTATCCTCCAAAGCCTTAGGTAGAGACGCTCACGGTGACATACATTCCGTGGGTAGCAGCCCCTAACACCAGCCTGCCTGGTTTCGCTGCGTGAAAGGCGGCTGTGAGCACGTGCCTGCCTAACTCTCTAACTTTGACTTTATCGTAGGAGCTCGAGATGCAGGCTAGAGCGCATGGACTTTCCCTTCTCCCATCTACGGGTCTCTGCTCGCCTGATCTGGTGAACCGGATCATTAAGCAAGAACCGATTCTCGAGAACTGCAGCCAGGAACTTGTGCAGCACCAGGCAGACCTGACGTGTACGACGACCCTGGATCTCACGGACGGTACCATCACCTTCACCAACAACCTCGGCACCATGCCGGAGAGCAGCCCAGCCTACAGCATCCCCAGGAAGATGGGCTCCAACTTGGAAGACATCCTGATGGACGATGCCCTCTCGCCTGTTGGTGTCACCGACCCACTGCTGTCCTCAGTGTCCCCAGGAGCTTCGAAAACAAGCAGCCGGAGGAGCAGTATGAGCGCAGAGGAAACAGAGCATGCGTGTTAGCAAGCCTGCCTCGCTCCGCCTGTGCACGAACTGCTTCCTCTCTTCCTCGATAGACTTCATAATTTCCCTGAAGAGGTTTTCTTGATAATTTTCCTTTAATATGAATTTTTCGTGCTTTATCAGTAGCCCAGGATATATTTTATTTTTAGAATTTTGTGAGCCAGACTTGTATATTCTATTTTACAACTACAAAGGCCTCCGAAGTATTGTACCATCAGCGTGCAGTATCTGTGAACTGATTTCTTGAAGCGTGAGTTTTCTGAGCAAGGGGATTTTTGCTTCAGAGAAATGTCTGTCCGTTTTCATTCAGGGGAAAACTTGGTGTGATCTGCCTGTCTGTGACCTCCTTGGAAATTTAACACGTAAAATTCAATTACAAGAATGTAAAGCAACCAAAAGAAGAAAACAAAGAAGATGATGATTAAGAAAAAAAGTGGAAAAGATATCCAAGCCTTTTCCGCTTTATAAATGAGTCGATTCCCTGGTACCGCCTTAAAGACACAGCGCCATCCTGGCGCCACTTAGTCTTCTGTGCCGGAAACTACTTTTAAAAAAGAACATATTATGTAAAGACAAATATTGCAGTCATTTTCATGAGGATTGTCTGGTTAGAGAATGCTAACCCAAACTGAAGGAAGTTATTAGACCAAGGCGTGAAACAGAGGGTCCGACCTGCTGGCTTGTATTGGGTGCAGTTGTAGTTTTCCTCATAATAAGTGTGATTCAATTTTTCATGAGATGTGGAGTTTTTGTTTTTTTTTTAAGTTTTTTGAAACGGAAATGAATGTCCTCTTTGAGTAAAATATTGAGGAGCACCGGAAGTTTGTTTCACTTTTTTTTTTTTTTTTTTTTGTTTTCAGTTTTGCTTTTGATAAAGACAACCAAACTGGGCACATTTCTAATTGGCTTTACTACTTTTATTTCTAAATTATGTTTTCACCATGTTGATTGTATATATTCTTTATTATCATCATTTTTTTCAATGTTTTTATTAATTTTTAAGAACATGCATCTTGAAATGGTGAGTTTTCGATATTTTTACAACTCACCGGTGGTTCTCCGCATTCTTTGTACACCCTCGAAAGACTACTTTTTCGCAAGGTCTTGTGTTCAAAGAGAGCTTTGCAAATATTTTGTATATTCCAGTATCACTTGAAACTGTTTTTCAACACATTTAAGGTATAGTAGTATTAATAGGTTAAAAACCAGGCTTTCTAGAAAAAAAAAAAAAAACTTACATATGCATTTCTAGAGTATGAAAATAATTATATTCTTGATGATTGATAACCATAGCATTTACCATGCCCGTGATGGTCATTTAAATTGGGATTTATTTCAACAAACCAACTGGATTCTTTTTAAAGAGAAAAGATAAATACTGTATTGGCAAAATACTTGATAACAACATTTTAACAAAGTGACAGCGTTGTAAAGTTAGTTTCTGTGCATTATGTACTTGCATAGCCCTATGCAATAACTATAGAGTTACATGTATCAAGTCTAGCTGTTTTATACAGATGACATATAGTGTTACAAGCCAGGCTGTTGAATGGAATTTCTCAGTAGCAGCCTATGATTGAATAGTGAGTGGCATAAAGCATATCCTTTCAGAATGAAGTGCCTTAAAAAAAAAATATCTCAGCAGTCTTTTTTGGACCAGCACTGACTGAACTGTAAAGGAAGAGAAAGTTTCAAGATGGTGTCTGGAGTGAAGAAGGAAGATGTAGCCTGGTGCCTCTGTAGACATTCTAAGAGCTTCCAATTTCCCTTCAGATATTTTTAATATGAAATCTATTTTACTGACAGTGCCAAATTCTTTCATCAGGAAACCTTTTTCAGGAGGTTTTTTTTTTTTTTTTAAGTGTTTAAATGTCAAATGTGAATTGGTGACGGGTGATGGAGAGATCCAAGAGGAGTGATTGTCAGTTGTATGAATGGATGGCCTTGGTGAGAGTCGTCAAGTGTGCAGTCCCTGTGCATGTTGGGTAATGCGGATCCTTGGAAACACTGATGATGCTATCCAGTCTTGTAGCTTTATTACTTAAGGGGGTAGGGAAAATAAGTTCCCATTCTTTCGACTCCCTTAAGTGTGTGACTCTTTTCCTAGAATAGAAATGCAAATGTGCATGAACAGATAATTGTACCATAGTGTTCACCGATACAATCATAGCATTGTCTGTTTTTCTCTTCATATTTATGTGGGGGGAGAGGGCTGGATGCTGAAGCCGAAGATCGTAATGCTATGATGCTAGTTTTTCTTAGCTAAAAATTCTGACTTTTTTTCTTCTTTTTAAATAATTGAACAAGGTTTTACATGGTTGACTAACTTATGGCTGAGTGACCATGGCCGAGCCGGAGCAACTTTTCTAGAAAGCTTTGTTGAGAGAAAGTGTGTATGGCATATTGCATCACTCCCCTGACTTGTAGCCCCTGGGCTCGCCATCGCTGACTTCCCTAGCGCTCTCCTCCTCAGATACAGCTGCCCGGAGAGGCAGGCGTGCCCTTCAGAGGTGGCAACATGGGGGTGGTTTTATTTCTTTCTTTTGTGCCAGCCAGAATGTGGATTCTTTCAGGGACTGGTTAAGCCAATAGGCAATGTGTTCACCCACTGTTTTTAAGGAGAGAACGATCCATGCCACTCCCTCACCCCTGGGTGCAGAACTGTGACTCAGGGTTGGACCTCCATTTGGAGCGCTCAAAATACCAAAATTATCCGCCTGCCTCCGGGTAAGGTAATGGAAATACCAAACCTTCTGACTTTGCCAAAAAAACTACACAACCAATCTGGTCATATCCAGAGCATGACACAGTTCAGTCTGGTTGTTTGTAAACAATAAAGCAATAAGAACAAACAAAATACATAGGACATTAAAAGATATAAACAAAGCACAAAGGAATGCACTTATTAATATTTTTGAAAAATGCACTGGGGAGAAGTTGATATTGATAATAGTATAAAAAAAAAAGACAACAACAAGCCGACGTCTTGACGAAGACAGCAAATGACTGTCTTTTGCGGACACTTGCTACTGTAATGTTAATAACAGCCCCCACTGTTGGGTGCAACAGTACTTTCTGTATGGTCCACAGCACTGTATATTATGATTGATATTAATGTATCCAATGAAATAATTGAACTGTTGTTCTTCATAGCCTCATTAAAGCATTTGGTTTTTCACATCGTGTTGACCAGTTGTGTGTGGTTACTGCCTGTTTTGACTGGTGTCTACCTCTTCAGGACAATGGCGGCACACATTTTCCCCCTCTGCTCATGAATAAGAAATTACTAGGAAAGTGTAATTGCTAGCAGCACTTTGTTTAGTTTAAATGTCACTCGAAGATGGTACTTTTTTGGTTCGAAACATTTTTGATTACTTTATGACTTACTCTCAAATGAACTATAATTATGTAGCATTTTCCCCCGTTCTGAATTTGGGGAGCCTCTGAACTCCCAGAAGCCAGGAATCCACTTTAGATATAAGGGGTTTATGTAAAATATTTCAGTGAGAGGTGACTTTATTAAAGAGGAGAGAAATTGTCAGAGAAACCTTTGCATATTTACTGAAAAGATCCTGGGTTTTTAAAATACAAATTTATAATAATGAATACTTAATATACCCAGCCCGCCAGCTCCTTTTTAAAAAAATACAGTACTTATGAATCATTTGATAAATGTTAGATTTGAATTGGGAAGTGTCAGACAGAACAGGTCTTTATTCCCCAGCCAGACCTTAAACTTCTGCCCTTAACCAAAAAAAAAAAAAAAAAAAAAAAAAAAAAAAAATCTGCTTAAACCTCTGGAGAACTGGAGAAGATACCAGAAACTTGCTGTAATGCTTATGATCCAACTGTCGGCTCTGTCTTAAGCTCAATTTTTCTCAAATTGTAATATACAGTAATTGAGGCCTTTCTTTTTCAGAATTATTTGAATTATTTATATTTCCATAGAAATATGACTGTATGATGTCTAGAAAATGTATGTGCAAAAATAGGAAGATCCCGCCTGATCAAGACAATTTTCTAAGCAAAAGGTAAGTTGAAAGTCGGGGCTTTTCATCTCTGGAGGGTGACAGCTGTACTCGACTTCAGTTTTTGCCTCTTGTTGGTCTATTGACTGTCACCTTTGGAGCACATAAAATCTTAATATAGAGTTACACACACACATTCCAGCACTGTTACCAGTTCTTCAGACATTCACGTGTTCCTTGAATAGCTTTTCGGCTTTATTTAATTTTATTAATTTATTTTACTTTATTTATTTTTTTGAGATGGAATATGAAGGCCAGGCTGACCTCAGACTTGCTATGCAGCCAAGAATGACCTTGACCTTCTTCTCTTCCTACCTTTTCCCTTGTATGTGCTAGATGGGTGCTACTGCACCCAGGTTTTACGGTGTTGGGGATTGCACTTTGGGCTTTTTGCATACTAGGTAAGTGCTCTACCAACTGAGCTATATCCCCAGCTGTTAGTTGATTTTATTTTATATCCACGGACATGGGCGGTTCAGTTAAAAAGCTGTTCATCTGCTCACTGAAATACATGCCTTAGATTTCAGCTATGCAGGAGACTGACCCATGCAGTCTTTCAAGTTCAAAGCCAGCCTGCACATTCTAAATCCACAAAATGACAAAGTGGGGCTCCCCATTCAACTTCTTGTCATTGAAATTTTTTGGCCTTTTCTAACTACATGGTTTTGAGCAAGTTATTTATCTTCCCAATGTCTCCATTCTGTTCACTGGCAATAATAAGAGCCAACATGTGGTAGTCTTGTGAAGCCCAATCAAGTATATCTGAATTTTTGTTTGGTGGCACAAGAGAATATTCAGTAAATAGCAGATGTGCTTCTACTATCCTAATAATTTTCTTTATTAACGTGGAAAACATATTCAGGCTATTTAAATCGCCCTGTGTGTAAGCAGTGACTAGAAAAACAGTGCACAGTGACACAGGTCAGGATTTGTGTGAAGCTGGGCAGGATTGCCACATTTAGCAAACAGAACTCTTAGTTCAGTCTCTAGTAATAATGAGAATTGTGTGAGTGGACAAAGCAACAGGAGACAGGTACAGGCTGCTCTAAGAAGGGACATTGTGCTCTCTCTAGGAGCTGGTGTCAGAATGTTCTAGAGAATTAATAAGAAACCCAAGATCCTTCAAATCTACATGAGCAAAGCTTGTATAAACTCACAGAGACTAGGCAGACTGACAGGAACTGCACAGGTCTACACCAGGTCCTCTGTGTATATACTATGACTTCCAGTTTAGTGTTTTTATGGGACTGCTGAGTGTATGAACGAATGGCTCCCTGATTCTTGTACCTTCTCTTGGACTCCTTCCTTCTGTTGGTTTGTCTTCTTCAACTTCAATGTGATGTTTTATTTTGTTATATTGTATTATCTCTTAGAAGCCTGTTCTTTTCTAATGAGAGACAGAAGAGACAGAAAGGAAGTGGATCTGGATGGGAGGGGATGTTGGAGAGGTAGAGGGAGGGAAAACCACCATCAGGATATAATTTTATGTGGCAAAAGAATCTATTTAATAAGAGAAAAGAAGAAAAGAGACTCAACTCATGCCATTTAAAAACAGCCTCAATACCAATGACCTAAATTTGAAATTGCATCAAACTTGTGTATTCTGTAGGTACACTTTTGCCAGGAGAATAATTATATCACTTTCTGATGATAAGCCTTGCTCAGAGCTGGGCTCTATCACATGCCTTAGAGAATTAAGTGTGGTAATCCCCTGTGATGTGTGCCGATGTTATGTAGCAGAAAGTGGTATCTTGACTAGAACCTGTCTGCTCCATTTCCTGTTGATAT